CCCCTCCATATGTCTCTTCATTCGACACAAACCAACGGGGGTTTAGGATCGGGCTATGGGCACACACAGCCAAGATGAGAAATTTGCTTTGTCTTTTCGCGGGCTGGGCTGCCACCCAGGACCCAATCAACACATCGTGGAGAGTGCGCGAGAAGAAACCACAGCAGGTGGTCAGCCAAGAGTTGCGGGGCTAGGCGCTTTCTCCACGCGACCGAGCCCTGTTGCTCCTCCTCATATGAATCCCTCACGTCTCAGGAATTCGACTCCCCGGGTACCCGCAATAGCCCGCGAAATGAGGAATCCGTCGCAGCCTCCCTCAACCTCGAGTTCATTGGGCCAGGCGCCAGATGGGGGATAATCGGCGGGGTGGGGGGGGCTTGGCAGCTACCGTAATCGCGTGGGGTCGTGGAGGAGCAAATTTACAGCATAGCGATTGTGAGAGATAATGAAAATCTCTATGAAGAAGCGTTAATTTGGAAAGCTACGTCTGCCTACAGTAATCACGGGTATTGTATGCCGTCTTCAGTTACTAATTTTGGGATTTTTAGTATTTTTCCAAGCTTTCCTATATAATGTCGAAATGCCATAATGTCGGCATTTCAGAGGTACCCTAGTTTTTGAATTTCTTCCTACCGATTTTTGGCATAGCATAGCACGGCTATTGCAGGAAATATGTGCATGTAAACCTCGACTTCACGAATTTCGAAATTGTGAATTTAGCGTGATGAATTCCGAAATTTTGAAGTTTGGTATATAAATAGGACATTTTTAAGATGACTCTTTGTAAAGAACCCGTTTTCTCCAAAAAGCCGTAATTTAATGCGTAATTTACGTGTAATTTCACCAAGAAAGCGAGCAAGCTTTTCATCAAAATTTTCGCAAGATCCGGTCCGCAGGCTGTTGCGCCCAAAAAACCGTTGGTTTGTCATTTTTGAGCACGATTTTACCGCCGTAATAAGTTACATTTCGTAGTTTTAACATTTTAAGCTTGCTCTCTTTGCCAACTTTGATTCCCCGATCTTTACCTATGCCAAGTTTTCCAAAAAAACTCCCCCAGCGCTCTGCGCGCGAATCCGCGGCGCATCTGTCGAGAAAGAAATCGACGCGGATGATGGGGTGCAAATAGGCGGATTATCGTCGTTCCAATAGCCCATCCATCGTCCAATACCCCCCCCCATCACACATCCAATTTATTGTTTCTCTTCCCCCAATAGCCGAGATATTCGGGTCGTAAACGCCTGCTGCAGCATAAGGGGACCATTATTACCAAAGAAGGCCCCGGAGGATTGGACAATCAAATAAAGGACTCATTACACCGGCAGGCTTCATCTGGATCTAGGAAAATCGAAAAAATTGCTTTAATTATACGAATACGGTTTATTAATTGCCGTATGGTAGCGGATTTCAGTATGTATTTAGAGGTCAGGAACTCTGATTTCGACTTCTAGCACGTGGTAGATCGGCGCAATAATAGCAGCTTGCTTTCAAAATGCCGAAAATCGCCCCGTCAAAATTTCGGAGCTTCAAAATACATAATGTTCAAAAGCAGAATGCCACAAATTTCATATTATTGAAATTTCAGGATACCGAAACCTTCAGAATGTTCAAATTTACAAAAGCAAATCCGCCGGATAGCAAAATCCCCATATTCCATGCAAATATTTCGGTATTTTGACATCGCGTACGGCGAGTCGCGCGTTGCGTGTTGCGGTTTAAATTGTAACAGTAATTGTAACAAAAATTTATAGCCAAAAATCATCGTTTGGACTTACCCACCCCTTTAAGAAGCTCTAATGCGAATTCGGGAAAATCACGTCATGAAAAAATCGTGGTCCTATCTGCTTAGCCAATTTCTCGTACTGTAGCCCGGGTTCCAGCTCGATTCAAAACTCCGTCCCAATCCTATCGCCATTTCAGTGGCCCATAGATCTCCCGGAAATCCAAACTTTCACCCCCGGTGGTCCTCGCGGTAATTTTTCCAAGTGTTCACCAGCCACGAGTCTGTGCTTGATTTGTCGTGCAGATGCTTTTCTAGCTCTCTCTCTCGCTCTCTCTCTCTCTCTCTTTCTCTCTCTCCCTTCCCCTCTCTCTCGCTCTCTCTCAATCCATTTGTCTTTCACCCACCCGCACCGTCACCCCCGAAGAATAGCCAATCCCTCCGGGGTGGTCCAAAATCGTTCCACCACCATCCAACTGCCGAACGTTGCGCAACCGACAGATTGTCACACCACAAAATCCAATGGGGCCCGGCGCCCAAAATCGTGGCCATGATTGCCCCATTTGCCTAATTAGAATGAGAGGGAGGGGGTAATTTGATTGTCGATCGGTGTCCAGTGCAGCTTTCTTGGCATGAAAATGGGACAATTAGCTTTTGATGCCCGTTATTCCCTTATGGAAGTTTCACCGGCTTAAGCATAACGTCATTGAATACTTATTCTGGCGCCTTAATCTAGCAATGTCTCATAACTTCACAACATGCATTTTTGTAGTGTTCATAGTATCATATTGGCTAAATTTCAAGCACAAAAACTACACCGAAAACCTCAAAAAATCGTAAAAAGTATAAACGAAAGAAAAACCGCCGGATTTTTGCTTGAAAACGACATTTTTGATAGCTTTACGTTATGATATCTACCGAATTATGAATAACACCAGCTGCAGGCGGCTGGACTTCGGGCCACCCCCTTGCGCTTTCAAAGTTAAATAGAATAATTTAAACGAAAGCTTTTTCATAGTTTTGTTACCGGTCGGGGGTATCTGGCCGCGCTCTATCCGAATCCGAAGAGAGCTAAGCTCTAGCTCCTTTCCCCTTCGAGTTGAATCCGGAACCTTACAGACAGAGACCACAGCAAAATTATTATAGTCGATTGATAATCATTGAATAAAGGTTGATTTCCGCTATATTTTAATACAACTTAAGATATACCTTTCCAGAACCGCCGCGCCAAGTCGAAGCGCCTCCAAGAAGCAGAGGTCGAGAAGGTCAAATTCGCCCAGGCCAGCGCCCTCGCCGCGGCTGCCGTCGCGCAAGGCGACAAGAGTTTTCTTTTTGGCTATTCCCCACCATGGTAAATTTTAATTGTAAGAAACAGTCATCTTGAAACCTCTAAAATTTCAGTTAGTCAAAGCCCAAGAAATCAAATTTTATCAAGAATATACACATTTTAATGACTGTTTCGACTTCAAATTCCACCCTCTCGATTTCCCTTATCTTACCTCGTTGAGCTTTTCAAGACAAATATACAAATTTCCTCTCATATTTTGTATTTTACTTTGACATTTCGTTATTCAAATCTTACCATAAAATCTCTTTGCTTCTCACATATCCTTTTTGTAGCAATCCACGCCTCTATTTGCATATCTGTTTAGCTTGTACTTTAAAGGGACTCGGAAGAGATCTTTTTTTCCGTTAGATTCAGTGCTTAGATATGCATTTGTGCTTATATTAAGAAAGCTTAAAAAGTATTTCTTGGAGCCCCAGTCCCTTTAAAACCCCAAGCTCAAAACTATATTTAGCCCTTTATCACTTTTAATCCCGTCATTTCTGGTATCTTCGCGTGGAGACAGAGCTTGGTTGTGATTTTGCCCTATTTTCGTGTTTCCCTAATTTCAGCTAATCGGTGCTTTTGCAATATTGCGCGGGGGGGGTGATTTTTCCTTTACTTTACATACTGTTAGTATGTGTACTAATAATGGCATTTTGCAGGATTAGCTTAATGATCTCAAGCACATAAAAATAGAAAACGCGCAACCAAAAATTTGAGTTTATGATCTTAAAGGTTTGAAGATTTTTAAACATCATATTTTGCCATTGGCTTAAAATATGTCAATTTTTACGCTTACAAAAAGTTGCAAAAAATTAATAACCAGTTTTCTAAATGTCTTTGAAAATTGTAAGCGAAAAAATCCTCCACCGATATTGCACAAGAACCGATAATTTTTCACTCATCAATCCTCTCATTTCCGTTTGATTGCTTGATTGCGCGCCCTGGTTTCGAGATGCGACCGACCGCCGCCCACCACTGACTGTTCCGCTTTCCCCCAAATTTACGGCTATTGTTAATGGGGGGTGATTTCGGACGGGCGGGAATTGGGGTGGATTGACCGGATCCGGGCCTAAAAGTGGCCGGCGCCATCTCGGCTAATTACCCGCAAAAAAATGACGAATGCCCCGTAGCGCAGCGCGGATTGGGGGGAATTTCGCCGGAGAGGTTTTGGAAAATTTGCGAAAATTTTGAGGGACTGAGACCAAAACAGATCATTTTTATGAGATTGTTCAAATCAACAAACCTTCAAACCCGATCCAAAATGCTGATTTCTCCAAGACAATAGCCGTAACTTTTGCCAATCCCGCCCCTAGTCCACTACCCCTTGATTCTCCGCAAAACTCGCAATTTTTTCAATTAAAAATTTTCCACAAATTGATGATTTGTGTTCACGTGAACTTGTGAATTTTTGTAATCCATTGCTTCCTTGTTGTTGCCATGAAAATAAATCTTGATCGAACGGAAAAGCTCGAAAAACTACACGCAGAAACATGCACTCCCTCACTTTCTCGCTCTCTCACAACCTCACTCACTCACTCACTCATTCACTCACTCATTCTCTCTCTCTCACCCTCTCTCTCTCTATCTCTCTCTCTCTCTCTCTCTCGCTCTGTCCCTCCGCAGAAACAGTCAGTTTTCTACACTCCGCTTAGTTCCACCAGACTCTAGACTCTTTCAACCAGACTTCCACTTCCGCTTCTAACCGTTGAATCGTTTACTGCAGTAGTATATGTAGACTTCTGTCCAGCGATTACTGCTGTGGCATGACAGGGCAGGCAAACCAAAAGAATCTTTATTCCAAAAAAAGAGCACCGTAGCCCGTGATCATACAAAAAAGACAACACGTATCGTAAACAATAATCCAGAAAATTAACTAGAGGACACCAAATCAAATATCACAAAGCGGATCGGAGGAAAGCATAGTCGTATTTCGGGTTCATTGGTTCATCCTCAAGCCGGTGTCGAGTCGCGCTGGATGAAGCTGTAGGGAAGAGCTTCGTTGTAGGCCTGCAAATAGCGGTGTAATCCATGTTGAATCAAACCGCTAAGAGAAATTATGAAGACTAAGGATTACGCTACTCCCCCCTCCCCCCGTTAACCGGAAAGAACCAGGATTGCTAGCCATTGTCGAAGCCTGGGCTCTGGCCTGTTAACGGGAGGGGGGGGGGGCAACGAGCAACCAACCCTTGGGTCCCAGCGGTAAGGATGAAGTTGCCCGGGAGTGTGATCGGGCTCGGCACCCTCGAGCAGCAGATCGTAGCGGCTGAGCTGGACGAGGTACGGCCGGTTTGCCTTGTGGGTGGAGTAAACATCCTGAAGGCCCGAGCATCCCTCGTCCGGATCGTATTCCGGTGCCAAACGCTTCAGATGCATTCCCGGAATCAGCTTGCCGTGTAGCTTGCCTCCATCGAGTACCGGGTGGAAGAGCACCTAAGAATTCCAGTAATAACACTGATTCATGGTTCTTTAGGATTCGCGGCGGGCCGGAACCAATTTTTCCTGCCGGCGGTTGGCCTAATATAGAATTATGACACGTATAGCGTGGTTTTAAATTGTTTCAGTAAATTTTAAGCATATTTAAATTCGAAAAACTTGCAAAAAAATTAGAAAATGTTTGAAAAAGGCCGGAAATTCGGTCATTTGGTCAAAAGTTCAATTTCGACGTCAAATTAAATTTAACTTAATACTACACATTATTACTAAATTAATTCGCCTTAGTACTATATTTAATACTAATTAAATAGTATTAGTAAAGATTTTAATAAAAACTATACAAAGCTAATTAAAATTTGTATTGTTGTTATGCTTAGGACTATACAAATATTGGGAAATTCCGGACTCATAGGAAAAAGTATGTTCACACCCGCTAACAAAACGGCCACCCCCGATATTACACAAGATCTGGTAGTATCTGGCTGGAATACACGGACTCAAGCCAATTTCCTATTGTCCGTCAGAGACACTCACATGAATGATCATGCCGGTCTCCAACGGGCGCTTGACCACGGCTCCTGCCCAATTCCACAGCTTGATCAGGTCGCGCTCGTTGTTGTCCGGCGACCAAACAAGACGAAGCCGTGGGCCACCCATTGGCAGAAGATGGCGTAGAATCGGTGGGCCGGCATTGTTGATGACGAATTCGTAGTAGCCGTTCTTCGAGTCGGCGGTAGCGGTTCCGTCCTTGTAGATCTCGAGCCACGCCGGCTTCTTCCACGCGTCCTTCTTGTTGTCCACGATCAACTGTTGCACGTGTTGTGACTTGATCAGCTTCAACAGTCCGGGCCACGTCTCCTCGTGCGACTAAAGGGATGGTGAAGTGGGAGAATATTGGACAATCCTACCCAACACGGAATTCGCATCTCCCAGATCTTCGGGAAGGACAAGTCTTCGGGGTAGTCGGTGATCGTGGGGTCGAGGTGGAGGGTTCGGACGAGCTTGGCACGGTTGAGGAAGAACTTCGTCGTATTTTCGTCGTACTTCCTGCCCTCTAGGCGCACCTCGGTTCTCTTCGATCCGTCGGCTTGCAGTACGCCCCGGATCGTCACGCGGTGCAGCCTGGAAAAAGTATGATATGGTGATCTTTGTTAAAAATCGATTATATTTATTTATTTAGATATGCGACTACTTTTCTAAGGATCCACTTTTTTATATAACTAGCTAGGCGTTTTTTAACCCTTTTTGGCTATTTAAAATTGGAAAACCCTGCAATTAACTTAACATTCAAAATTAATTAAAATTAAACAGATTGAAAGTTGCACAAAAATATGATTCGTCATTCAAAATTTCGACTCAAATGTTTTTGCTGTTTCACTTGAAGCCTAGTTCAATTTTCTTACAAACGCTTTTTAAAAGACCTGGTTCTTACGCATTAACGGGGGGGGGGAAGAACCTTTTTATAAATCTAGAAATGCCTAGTGAATGAGCAAGTTTTCTGAGAATGCTTTTCCAGTAGGGGAAACAACATATTTCAACTAAAAAAACCAGGTAATAGGAATAGTAAAGAACATTTCGCAAGATTTCTACGATTAGTATTCGAAAAAGTAAGTAAGAAAAAGTCCCCCCCCCCCCCGATGATGCGAAAGAACCATCAAAGTCAATTTTAATTCCTACGTGAAATGCGGGTGGACTTTGCGGTGGGGCGTGTGACGGAATCGCGGGAACGCCTTGACGGCCGAGATGAACGTCTGCGCGTCGAGCGGGCGTGTGATGTTGAGGAGCATCTCGCGTGGCAGATCTTCGAGGCCACGGCAGCCCGGCACGATGTCGCAATAGATGCTTTGCTAAAGACCCGGAATTAGCAAAGAAAATCAAAGGTATGCTACGCGGGGGAGACAATTTTACGCGGAGGGGAACGACTGTTGGGGCCGAACTAGCCATTTTTTTGGCGTTTATTTTTGCTACAAACACAGCTCTTAGCATATTTTTTGACGCTCGATCGAATGGCACTACAGAAATTTTGAAAAGATACCGAAAATGTCGAAAACTAGCTTTTAGCTTCTGTCCTCTTTGGAAAGCAGATCCAAAATAGGTTTTTGTCATAACTATTATATCTTATATTAATTTCAAATAAAATATAACTTTGTAGTATATTTTTTGAATTTTCTATCAACTGGCGTCCCTAAATGTCAAAAAAATAGCGAGAGCGCCGTAAAACAGCCACTCAACCCGATTTTCAAGCTTTATTTTTGTTCCTGTCATCACTTTTTTTTATTACAACACTTTGTGCTAAAAACCAAATTCTAATATATTGTTCAATCCTTCTATCTAGTGGCGTTGCGAAAACACCGACAAAATAACGAAAATATAGGAAAAGGCGTGTTTTTGCTAGTCCCAAACCTAACAATTTTACATATTTTATATAATATATTTAAAAGAATTTTACAACTATATATAAAAAATACCGAGGGAGAATTCCCGAGCAGAATGATCGCGTCACTGAAGCTGCAGAAGTGCCAATCGACCAGGAAGCTTCCGTTATGCTGCCAGCCCGTTCGGACCCGAATCCCCAAGTTTCGGGGGGCTGATGCCACCCCTCGCGCAGCTTTTCGTGGGCGCCGACGAGGCCGAGCAGCGAGGCGGGGTCGAGCGTCGTGATGATGTTGTTGAATGTCTTGGCCGGGAGCTGCAGAAACACTGAAAAAGATGCTGCTGATGGTGCTGCGCGACAGGATGGAGAACATGAGGTGCATGGGGTGCTGGACTGTTAGCAGGGGGAGGACTTTTTAAACTAAGGGTTAATCGCTAAGACCACCCGGGGATCAATTGTTCTGATTATTTTAGTAATGATTATTTGGTGAAGAATTTTATTAATGACTATTTTGGTACAATAAGTGTGAAATCGTGGTGGCTCAAATTAATTATTTATTTTATTAAAGAAGTACTTTGTTTATTTTCGTTAGCCTTTTGAGGTTTTCTTGTGTTGTGTTTGTTCTTTCCTGATTTTTTATGTTGTCTAGAGTTTCAGATTTTAAGTCATTGATTTTTACCAAAAGTTACCTGTTTTTTAAACTTGTATTACCATTACACATATTATGCTTTCTGGTATTACTTTGTTATTTACAAATTTTTTGACCAAAATTGCGTTTTTAGTAATGATTCCAGAAAGATTTACTTTAGTCAATATTTTAACAGATCTTTTTTATTAATATTTTTTATTATGGGAGTTTAATAAGAATTATATATTTAAGGTTTATTTATCTCAAGTACCTGCTCT